AGGACAAATTGATGTATATTAGACATTAGAATGATCAAGTGATTGAAATGTATATAGGTGATGCGTTTGGGAGTGCCCGGTACAAAAGAGACTCTGTCCAAACACTGTGTTGTTTATAATCGCAGTGAATGCCATGGTGTCGGGTTATATGCTGCATTCACAGGTACTTTTGTGGGTTGATGAGTGATTAACGAGTTGACAAAAGATCCCTAGTTTTAGGAGCATCACAGCTTGGTAAAATCACTGATAGTAAGATTTCGTTCTCCTTTAAAGATCAAATGGTAATATTTCACCACCTTTTAATTTGAATTTTCCCTTCTTTAAATTTAAGTTTGTTCAACTTTAAATTTGACTTTGTCTATTAGAATTCTTTATATCAAATCAAAATTTTTAATTAAATATTAATTAATTTCAATAAAAAATTTTAAGTTAAGATTGGAGATGCTCTTAATAAAACTCATTAGTTAAATTTTTATCTTAATAAAAGTTTATATCTTAGTTTGTGTAATTATGCATATCAATTAAGTGTAGATCCACTAAACAAAGAAAAGGAACCGGTGTGTAAATCTTGTGGAATCTACTGTACACTAATATTCTAAAATTTCTGATGTCACTATAATTCTTTTGTATAAAAATATTGAATGGATTTGAGATACCTTTTATATATATTTTAGTGGATGTTGTGAATTTGACTTTTAAATTGAATACATGGTCACTTGGTGAATTGCGCAGGTTGTATGTGGATGATGAGTTGACTAAGTTTTAAATGAATTAACCCAATTTAGCTACTGTGGATTGGTATGTAGAATTTAATTGCACAGGCTTTTTGGACAGGGTATGGAGATGAACCTGATCAAGAAGATGGAGTGGACAACTTTGCCTTGTACAAATAAGACCAATCGATGGATGGAATTAGCCTTGGTAAAACTTGCACAAACCAAAATTTTCCAAGAATTTGAAACCAAATTTTACAAAATTTCTTTGAGAAGAAAGCCTTTTTGGAGAAGGTCCCATTAGACTACTCAAGTAATGGAAACACTGGAGAGAACACATTGACATTTCGTATACCTAGCCTCCTCTATTGTGAATGTTTGAATTATCTTGCACTAGATTGGGAATCTCTCTATATGGCCTTTTGGCTCGCATCAAGCCTTGGTGTTTGATTATATTTGCGCTTTTTTTTTTCTTAATCTCAATTTTTTTTAATTAAAAAAAAAAAAAACAGGAGCAAGGGGTTGATATTTACCTTGTGCTGAAGTGCGATTTTTAGTACCCTAGAATCAAACGAGAATTTAATAAAAATTTTAATTCAAAAATTGAATCCAAAATTTATCTTGGTGCATGTGTAACCTTGCTTGATTTCAAATATTTAAGTGTGGGTAGTACTCAAGTTGAAGCTGGGTCCAAGTTGAACTTGAATTGAACTCAAATTATCCTCCAAAACCATCCAAATTGAATCACAATCTAGTTCTTTGAGAGTTTGCATAAGGACCAACGAATGCAACCAAACTTTGATCTTCGAACTTTTGTTGATTAGAGATAGTCCATCACTTTCATGAATCATTCTACACCAAGTTACCCTTTTTGAAGTATTCATATAATTTCAGAGTAGTTCAAGTGATAAAATGAGTGAGTTGTAAATTCAGACGTTCTGAATTTAAATCTTTATAACTTCTTAGAGGACAAACTATGAGAGATTTATCTCTCATGAATTCCCTAGTCCCGACGTAGATGACCTGTTTTTGATTGAATTTGGGACCGTTGAACCAAAAAAGAGAAGTATTCACATGATTTTCTAAGCAGGAAGAAAAATATAAATTTAAAACACATCGATATCTAAAATTAGAGTTTCATTTTGTCCCCAAGATAAGAACAATAGAAACATGTATTTTGGTACTTAATTTGTATTTTGGGTCGAATGGATTTTTGTATAATAATTTTGACTTTTAGTTTTCTAATAGAAAATACTCATTTAATAACCACAACAATTAGTTCTAATTTTATTAAATTCCTTGCAACCCTTTTATGGGATACTAGGCAGAATATTCCTCCAATTACCCCTTCGAGCAACTATGAAATGATTTCATCTTTCAAGAGAACCTAGAACTACATTATGCACGTACGTAGGTTGTGGGTGGCTGCGCGTCTTGAAACGTTGTAGAAACATGTCCAAAGCGATCTTGGTTGGGACTTGAGATGATTCTCGATCATAAATAGAGATGAAAAAAATAAAAACAAAAGAATAGTTATAATACGTTAATTAAATATAACCAAAACAAAAGTCATTTAGAAAAAAAACTAACTAAAAGTTTAGTTTCAACATCCCTCGGGTTTGATGGCCTCTCAAACCTAACACTGGACTAATGCACGACTTTGGATTGAATACAGTGCTATAATCTACAAAAAAAATTTCAAGACTACTTCTTGAATGATTTTACATTCAGAATAAGTATGTATTTTGCTTTTCTATTTTGTGTCCCCAAAAGTATCCTTATTCTTCATCTATTTATTTTTATTGTCTAAGTTCATGTCATTTTGTTAAAATATAGCTCTGATACCACTTGATCTCTATGTTTCCTGTCACATGTCTAATATAATTATTCATAATATATTAAAATCTTCCAATTTATTTCTTATTTGATTGGACCACTAATAAATATATCAATGGTTTATTAGGACTCTTCTAATATATTTCCTATTCTATTTAAGATTATCATATTGATTACTCAACAAATTCTCATCCTTGAAAATTAGAGAGTTTGAGTCAAATTTCAACGGTCTCTTTTGAGCCAAATTCTTCAAATTTGGTCATGCCCAATATCGGGTTTAGCACCCTTGATTTTGATCTATCAATTTTTTCAAACACCACATGCAAACCTGTTCTTCTGAGTCGCCACAATCCTCTCTGTCTTTTAAGAGCCTGTCTTGGCCTGCATCATCTGTGCATTTATACCCGATTTTTATATGCTCTTGAAAGATCTCAATGGTGAATAGTTCACCATTCAAAGGTAAAACCCAATAACTTGAAACCCACAACACACCTCATCATCACTAGTGGGTTTATGTCGGCCCAATAGTTCACAAACCATTGGAATACCGTAACTTTAACTCTAACAGCCCAAAATCCTAAAGAAACATTTTCAACACAGTACGTGTGATAATTCTTCAAATCCAAATAATTAGAAAGCAACTTAGTCTCCTATTTGATTTCATACCAACTTTTAATTTTTCTTGTGAATCCAAATAAAAATATACATCAACCTATTTTTCAAAATTATGGCTTTAATATACCTAGAATGAAATCAATCTTTACCCCACATCATACACGTGGCAGGAAAGTCTTCTACAATATGAACACCAATTTGATTATTGAATTGCCAACAACTTGTTTTGGTTGTTTCACTAGAATCATCAATCTAACATTGATTTTTCTGTCACGATCTTCAATATAGCTATGATTGTTCTACTAAGATGTAACTCTGATTGTTCTACCTGGATCTAGCTCTGATTGTTCTACTAGTATCTAGCTCTTATACCACTTGTTTAAGCATAACTCTGATAGCACTTAATCTCTATGTTTTCTATCACATGTTTAATATACTTATTCATAGTATATTAAAACTCCACCAATTTATTTTTATTTGATTTGATCACTAATAAACCTATCAATGGTTTAGTTAGACTCTTCCAATATATTTCCTCTTCCATTTAGAATTCTCATATTGATTATCCAAAAAATTGTCATTCTTGATAATCCAAAAAAAAGCCATGTATATGCTCCTCGCCTTTCATAGTATAATATGTATAGTTTAGTACGATATCGTGAAAGAATACCATGTCTTGTGGACCTTTTCATCTTGAGTTGGTCACCCAGAACAAATAGAAAACTAAAAAAAAAACTTTTTCTTTTTGATAATCAAGAAAGCTGCAAATATAAAGTGAGCATTGATTACTCTATGACCAAATAAAATTTGGATGCAGATTCCTTTTATCATTAATTTAAGGTTAATGATATCTTGCCCCTTTAAGATTTTAAAATTTTTATTCTGCTCCCTCAAATATGGAACATCTCACATTGACCTTGTAATATCTCACAATTGTAGCAATTTGTGCTAACCACTAGACAATATTTGGTTTTAAGTCTTTAAAAATATCATAATATAACTTTACTATTAAAAGATGTTCAACTATACAATTTGTCCCATAAAAAAATTAATGAGTTAATAGTATTTTTGGTCCTTTAAATACGTATTTTTTATCAGTTTAGTCTCTAAAATATTTAATTCATGTTAAAATGAATCATAGATAGACGAACTGTGGCATTTTTTAAGAATAATTACGTGTTGGGCATGTGATACCATCTGAAATAGTGATATGTGGTTACTTCTGTGAAAAAAACTTAATGAACTATCTGATTAGAGACTAAAATAACATGAATTAAATATTTTAGGGACAAAATTGATATTTTAGAGACCAATGTGATAAAAAAAAAATACATACATTAAGGACAAAGTGCTATAAATTTAAAATTAATTGTTTCAGTTCACGTGAATAGCGCATGCGAAGTTCAACCACATTCACTGTTATTATTAATGAGATTCAAGATGTAATGTGATTTCTTAATCTTTGAAGGATAAAGAGAAAATTTTAAAAAATTTAGGGGCCAAAGTGTCATTCCACCACTAATTATTTTACAACTGCAAGAAGGTAAAGAGTAAGGATCAACGAAAGCTGCTTACAACAGAACTTATTATCTTATCCATGATGTTGTCTGGAAGCTACTATTAATAAATCTTGTGTATTAAACAAGAGCTTGCCACGATCAAACCATGCTGTAAAGTAGCAGAAGCTTTTAGCTTTCGGTTCGGAAGTAGCTCTGCTCCTCTCACCTTCTCGGCAACTACATCCTCCCTCTTCATAAGACATTTAAAGTCTCTCTCCCTCCCTCTCTCTCTCTCTCTCTCTCTCTCTCTCTATCTGTGTGTGTTTGTATTATATATTTGTATATATAGTACTATAGTATGTTGAGAGCGGTCCTCAAAACTTGTTCAGGCAAAAAGAGCTGAGAATGGTTTTCATGCTAAGTTTAAGCTTGAAGTGAAGGCCCCATAATATTTCCAGGTTTTGAAGCAGGAATGAGGAGGAGCAGTCGAAAAATGTGGTGGGTGGTGCCTTGCACAAGCAGAAAAAGCTTGCGAACCGAGTCGGGATTGGACATAGAGGAAATCCTCAAGATGAAGCTAGCAACCATCATAGAAGAACCGGAAGTGTGTGAGGACAATGAAAGTACTGTCACAAACCACAGGTTCATGGACAAGAAGGGAAAGAAGATTCAATTGAAGGTTAAAATAGGAAGCCTATTTAAGCCTCAATTCAGCCTTAAGGATTCTTATGTGCTGTTCATGACTGGTTTTGCCTCCAAAGGTAGCTTGCATGGGCTTTCCCAATACTAATCATGTCACATTTTGGCAATTCATCCAGGAATAACACTGACACTGATAAAAAAGATGCAGATATTTTGTGGCGTCAAGGCTAATCAGCTTTTTTTTTCTTTTTTGGGTGCTGTATTTGTTATGTAAATTTTCTTATCTATGTCAGATCAAAGTTTCTTTTTTTTTTTTCTTTCAAAAAATAGATATGCAGATAGATTACTCCGCATATTTGTCAGAGAAAATTGTATTTCATCATCACACAACTATCTGCATGGACCTTACCGCAACTACATTGAGGCCGAAGTTAAGATCCCACCGCATGCTTTAAGCGCTAAAGAATAGATTTAGGCCTAACGTGCTGTACCAATCGCACGTTGGCAGATCAAATTTTTTATTTCCATTAACATGAAGTTATTTATAGGGTTAATAGTAGTTTTGTTTTTTAAAGTATGCACATTTTGTTAATTTGATCCGTAAAGTATTCAATTTATATTTAAATAATCATTATATAGACGGACTCATGGTTTTATGTGTGGTTTGCATACTTGAGAAGTTTATGCCAATGAGATAAGGAAAACAATAAAGGTTAGTAAAAAATTAACTTAAAGAAATACAAATGAACACTTGTCCAAACCACCGGTGTGTGCCTTTTCATCCCCATCATTCACTCTTTCTCTCTCGCCAACTCTGTCTCTTTCTCTCATTTTCTCTACGCGCACACACAGATATCCATAGAGATACCCAAATAGAGAAATAAATCAATTACCAATTTAATAATTGTAATACTATAGTCAACATTCAAATGGCAAAGTACATAGAGCTTTCAAGAACAGTAGGCAATGCTGCATAATTGCAAATGCAAAGGTTGTTTTGGTGGAAATGTGACGGACAAAGGCCACCGCACAAAGGATGGGCTAAAGGAAAAAGATGAATCGCACGGGAAACGGGGAAAGTATCATTCCTTTAAAAAACAAAAAATATAGAATATAAATAACATTGAGATTTGGGAATAATCTAAAATGAAACCAGAGTCCAATAGCAAAAACTTTCTTTTGCTCTTGTTTGTCTTTTTTTATCATAGAACAACTCTAACACTTATACTTAAAAGCAGAAATGCCAAAGAGTTCATATAACCCACACACGCCCGAAAATTATCCGATGTGGGATAACTCTTGTTTGTTAAATTTGAAGGATTTTGATGGAACAACTAAGAAACTCATTAACTAAACGATACATAGTTAATAATATTTAAGTACTTAATTAAGAAATTTTGGAAAAAGGGAATGTGATGAAGTATACAAAAATTGTCATGTTCTAACAAAGGAAGGAGCTAAATTTAAAAAAAATGTGGACTCATACAAAACTATTATCCAAAGTAAAACTGCCTAATGCAAAGGTCACATTTTAATATACCTGATGTGAAAAAAGGTTGCACTTATGAAGACAATTTGAAAAGTTAGCTTTGTGGGTTTGAGGTCTTCAAGGCTTCCACCATATCATCTTTTGAATAAATAAATTGGGTCAGAGGCTTCAAAACATTCATTTAAAGTTTCAAAGAAAGAGTTCAAATCCAAATTAATTAACTTAACCAAAGTCATGACTGCATGATCACACCTAAAATCAATAATCAAAGCAACATACCTATTTTGGACTCCTCATGTGAACCCTCTTCCTAGAACAGTATGGTCCATTCCAATGTGTACCCCACAATAAATAAAATTCATAACACAGTAATATCCAAATGAAATCAAATTCAAAAATCACAAACTTCTTAAATTTAAAGAACTTACCCAAGTGTTGAGTGAGCACCTTTCTTCAAATTGCATCAACACCAAACTCCTATTTCCACTTATGATAATTTAAAAAAACTTCCTTTAATTTGATCAAAATTCCTCATTCGTAAAATCTAAAACCATAAAAGAACACCATCATGCTTGCACAAACCAACTATTTTTTTTTGTGCAACATCAAACTCACTCTTTATGTCCTAATACATTAGTGTGTTAATACAAAAAGCCTAAAATTGCCTTGAAATTTGAATTAGAAAACCCTTTATTGTCACAATCTCTCCAATCATCCGAATGAGCACCACTTTCTTGGCAATGGACCCCATTTCCAATTCTGATGGTGAACCCTAAGTAAGAAAGTAATTCAAATGTATCAGTCAGATTTAGAATACTTATTAAGTGAACGATCTTAGAATCAATACATAACTTCCACCAAAAATTTAGACAAATAAATAACAACTCAAATCCAATAAAATGAAATCAAAGGACCACAATGTTGAAAATGAGATCTAAAAAATCAAATAATCTTGAAACACATAGTATCAACAAATTATTGGCATAAACACTACAAATATGTGGTAATAAAAATGCCAATAAAAATCCATAAAAGATCTACTGAGATAAAATCACAATAGAGATAATAAGAAAATTTATTAGATTGAAAGATTTTGCATAACGTATAATGCTTAACTTGAATAGAGCCTAATATTCCAAACCAAAATATATATCAAAACTTAGAACCAATTGTCATTCCAAACATTCGAAATGCAATTCTTGCAAAAAAAACAAAAATTACGAAATCATAAGAGAGCGTAGAGACCCAAAACAATATATGCATATATCCAAGGTGAGAAAATCAATGGATAAAACAATCGATGTGTTTATATGTGTGCCATGAGGAGTTGGAGAATAGAAAGATGTCAGGGATTTTGGGTGTTAGGAGGGTTACATAGGAGAAAGCGGGGAAGAGAAAGGGTTACTGTTGTATTTGGATGTGTGATGTATGCATGTCGTGTATGTGTGTGTTGTGCGTGTGCGAAGATAGGAGAAGGGGAGACAAATGGATATAGAGAAGGAGGGATACCTGGTCGGAAGATCCTCGATGATGGTGTCTCCGATGGTGGCTCCATGACATTCCTGGAAGGAGAGAGGGTTTTGTGAGAGAAGGTGTAGGTGAGGGGAGAAAAAGAGCAAAGAAAGAGGTAAGGCCGCTGGTTTTGGAGAGAGGGGTGAAACATGAAACAATATTCATTACAATGGTGAAACTACCTGACAAGGTGATATGATATCACCAACTAATAATATTAAAACAAATAAGCACAAGAACCCCACAAAAATTAATAAACTAACCTGTCATATAAGCAAATAATTTCCCGCCCTCATGCCATGTAAGCCCAAATGGGATTCACCTTTCTCATTTGGGGTTTTATTATTAGTTGGTGATACCATATTATCAATGGTGACATGGTAGTATCGTTGCATTCAATATTTACTGTAAAATTCAGGTAAATTTGAATATTTTCCGAAAAAGGGTAAAATGGTAATTTGCCACTAAAATATGAATTTAAAATACGTAATTCTATAGAGCTTAGATGATGCAATGGACTTCACCATTGAATTCGTCTCATGAAATTGAGTTGTCCAATCAATTTTCATCGAATTCAAAGATAGTCGATTTTTTTTTACATTTTACGAGACAACTAGGTGTCAGGTGACCTTACAAACGTCCCTAAAAGTAAATTTTATAAATTTCTTATAATTGAAGGAAATTTTAAATAAAAATAAATTGAATTTAAGCCGGGATGAAATTAAGTCGTTTCGGAATAAAAACGGACCAGAAAATAAGAAACATGCAGCACGACGTGGACCGCGCAATTAGAGGCTATAAATAGGGGAAAATATCTAATCTTCCCCACTTGATCAGTTGATTCTCACGTTGGAAGAGGAAGAGAGTGAAGGGAGAAAAGAAAAAGAGAAAATCAAGGCTTCTCTCTACGATCTACGAAGTTTCGCTGGCCGAAATCCTTTGGACCAAGAGTTAAAGTTGATCACCTCGACGAGGGCTACGCCTACGTACCAAAAATGAAGGATTTTATCAAAGATCCAAAGAGGATATTTGGGAAAATCAAGAGTTTTGGGCTTGGGAGGTGTTCTTGAGGTTTTCTACCACTCGTACCACGCTCCAAGAGGTAGGGTTTCCTTCTACTCGGGTTTATTTCTAACCTAGGATGCCCATATTGAATGGGTATGTGTATAACTATATATGTCACTTGCTTACTGTTATGTAAATGAGGAAATGAGTATAAAAATGATCTAAATGAATCTCTAACTTGAACTTGACATGTAGATATCATTTGTGAAAATTCTTGGAATTTGGTATTATGTGGCATGCTATGTGTTAATATTGTACTTTTGCGAATAAAACATGTTATTAACATAGATTATGTAGTAATATGCTTGTGAATTGTTGTTGGGCATGAATGAGTTGATATGTGTTGTTAATATGTCAACATAATGATAAATTGTGATAATTATATACTTATGATATAAATTGTCATGAGATATGTTGATATGTGGTTTAATTGCTCATTTGACATTCATTGCATATTGGACATGAAGTTAGCATCGCATTCATGGACAGTAGACATAAGTGTGAGTGTGTGTATATGGTTTGATTATACACCATACTTGGTGATTGATGGGTGGGCTTGGAAAAGTTGGATTGAAGATCCGACTGAGTTGCATGGTTGCACGAAAAAAATTTGTGTCAAGTATAGCAAGAAGGGCTAGACTCTCCCTCTAGTGCAAGACCCGGCTACCTGGTTTATACACTCTCTTGAGGTGAAATTCCAAAAAAGTGTATTGGTTTGCGGAACCTGCGGTGCGATACCAAAAATCCGCTACCCAACAAAGACACATGATTTTGTTTTATAAAATATCTGGTTCGTACACTCCCCTAAAGTGAAATTTCATAAAAGTGTACTTGTTTTATAAAATAGTCATTTGATGTGTAATATTCAACAATGATTCAGTTTTACAAACACATGACTTTTGTTTTAAAGTAATCATTGAATGTAATTCATCAATGACAGATTTGCTACACATTGGCATTATATTGTGTTGTGGGAGTCGGTGAAGACTCGAGATAAAATGTATGAGTGAGTTTCATCTTATATCATGACATGACATGGTAGATTTTCCATCTTGAATTACTTGTTCTTGATTGGAATAGATAATGGTTGTTGATTGTTGCATGTGCACATTTCATATGCATCTAGATTGAGGAGTAGCCTCTGTTGGAGATACTCTATTGAGCGTAACTCACC